ACTGGCTTCCTGACTCATGGACTAAGGGCTAATATGGTAGAAATACCAAATGGACCTTTCTAAATTTACTCCTCCCTACCAAAACACTAAATCAAATCCAGTCCTGCATTTATGAACGAATTATAGAGATTACTTTAATCATCAATGACTTGAAAGATGTAGAGGTGATGATCTATAGCTCATCTTTGTTTAAATTGGCCAGTTTGGTCAATGCAAAAGTTGGATGGATCTATGACTGTAGGTTATTATTAATGTAATCAAAGTTTGATTCTAATTGCAGCTTTCCTCCAGATGTGTGTCTTTACTGGAGCAAATCAACATAGCCAGTGGCATGTGGTATGGAGCTATTGATCTGGTAAATAAGCTTTTTGTCATTAGCAAGGCATATCTGAAGTCATTTGATTTTTACCTGGCAGGGACAACCTTATTGTCTTACCTCAGGGCTAAGTTAATTCTTCTGTTTTGTGTCATAATATAGGACACAGGGACATCAACTACATAATGTCTCAAAGAACATCATGTTGATCCATGACACTGATGACATTATGATTGCACCTGTCAGTAGGAAGTACTAGCTACTCTAGATGCCTTATATCAAGAATGTCAGAGGGTGGGCAGTAAATTCCCTGAAAAATAATAAATTAAATTTATCAGTAAAATTTCTAGAGATTCAGTGGTCTGTGATACGTATGGATATCTATTCTAGGAAAAAGGCAGTTTACTCTACCTGTTAATATCTACCAGTTGTTGAAAAATGCAACATATAATGGACCTTTTTAGATTTATTTTTTAACAGTTTTACTTCTTTTTTAATGTTTATTTATTTATTTTGAGAGAGAGAGAGAGAGTGGGAGAAAGGCAGAGGGACAGACAGAGAGAAAATCCCAAATGGGCTCTGAGCTGTCAGCACAGAGCCCAATGCAGGGCTTGAACTCAAGAACTGTGAGATCATGACCTGAGCCGAAATCGAGTGGGATGCTTATCTGACTGAGCAACCCAGGAACTCCCCACTGTTTAGATTTAGAAAGTAACATAAACCACATTTGGGTGTGGTGTTTTTACACGTAACTTAACACATATATCAACTAGCTGGGAGTGAAACCCAGAGCATGAGACTGCTCTGCAGCAGACTCAAGTTGTGATGCAATTAGTTTTTCGACTTAAGTCTTGTAAGTCAGTAGAACCAATGCTAATCAAAGTATCTGTAACAGATAAAGATGTTTAAACTGCATCTCTAATTGGCCCAAATAGAAGAATCAGTTCCTCCCCAAAAGTTTTGGGGAAAAGCTATTTTTTCCTGTGTGGATAACTATTCTCTTTGGAGAAGCAGTTATTTGATTGATACCTAACCCTGGTAGAGTCTGAAAGCCTGACTAAAGAAAATAAAATGACTACTATGGCAAACCATGTTAGCTAATCCAATAAGCCATGGGAATAAGTGAATACAGCATCAGCATGATTAAGTGGAATGACCCGTGAAATATCATGTTTCAACAGGTCAGAAGATACAAGTATGTTGTCTGAGCAGATAGATCAGATTTTCACTATATCTTCTCCTGTTGTATTGCATACCCTTCCCCAGCCCCTCTTATGACTTCATGTGAAGTTACCTACAATCAGGGGAGAAAGGAAGAAAATATAAAACTTGCTCTATAGTGGGTCTGCATCATATGGTAGCATGGGAACTAGGGAAATACTGCTGTGTTACATCCCATTCAGGGGTAACTTGAAACAGGGTGGTAAAGGAAAATCATTGCAGTGGGCATATTTCAGGCAATACATGTAGATTCCCATTCTTAACAGAAAAATAGATAACATAATTTGGAATTATATACCAATTCATAGGCAATGCCAGTGGGTTGTCAGGTTGGTCTGGTAGTGGAAAGAACAAAATGGGAAGACTAGTCAAGATATGTGGAGATGGATCTTTCAGAGTGGATATGGAATTTGAAGATAATGCTTCATCTATGTTAATGGAGCTCTCAGAATGGGTGAATGGGTACAGAATTGAAAGTCCAATGTGAACACCTATTGAACTTCATAAAAAATATGGTGGAAAATATGACTTGTCCTATGGTTATCAGTCTTTTTTTTAATCTTCAGCTACAATAGTTATTTAATGGGTCCATATACAAATTAGTAATAGTAGTTGGAATGGAGTTGATGAACAGCTCAAAATAATGGATATCTTCTCATCAGACTGATCTAGATATTGTCACTACTGAATGCCCAACCAGATTAATAAAGAGGTCAATGTAAACACCTGATATGGCTTCAGTCACCATGGGAATCAGCTAACAACCTGGGGATAGGTTGCTTACATGGACTTATTTCCATAAAGTAGAGGACAGTAACTTGTATTTACCAGTATTCACACTGGTACTGGATATGTATTTGTCTTCCTTATGGATTGGAATATGCTAAATTCATCATTAGTGGATTAACAGAATGACTTATAGACCGTCACTATAATCCAAAAATCACTGATTTGACCAAGGAATTCCTCATTTCACATCAGAATAAATCTAGCAATATGAAAAAAATGAGGAGAATGATATAATTTGGAGATAGAAAACTAGTAAAGAGGACAACTATGACTATTTTCTTTTGGGGGATGGGTAAAAGCACCTTAATTCAAATAAAAGATAGCTTTGGTTTAGATGGAAACAAAAAATTATTGTCTGAGAGTTAAATGTTGGTGAAAGCGTAAGAATGGACTCTGAGCAAAAATACAAATTTCCCTAAAATTCAGGCAGAAAAGGAAACATAAAGTCCAGTAGAAAGCTGGGGGAAAATTTGATGAGCTGTTTTGCAAAAGACGGAATCCAGTTGGCAAAGCATGTATTTCCTTCCTTAGACTATGGGCCTGGCCATATGATTTACTTTGGCAATGGAATTGGGTAGAAGTCTTGCACATCTTCGCCTGACTCTTGTATTTTTACCATTGTCATGAGAAATATATACTTAGGTGAGTTCAGTGGTCCAAAAAGGGTAAAGAAATAAGAAACAGAGCCCTTTCCTCAGTTAACTCATAAATCTGCAACAAGAAGCAGAGCCACCATGTCGAGCCTATTTAAACACTCATCGGACCCTCAGTGACTAACACCTCTATAAAAATATATGTTAATCGTTCCATGCTGCTAAAATACTTTGTTGGTGTTTATTATGCAGAAATAGCTGATTGATACAAATGAATAAATTTCTATTGACCATATAGTCAGTAAGTGTAAAGTCACACAGTGAAGGTCATGAATAGACAGACAAGTTGAAGCATAATCTACCACCACCACAGTGAAGCACCTGCCTGCACACTCCCATGCACAAAAGGGACAATTAAATATTGACAAACACAAAAACTGAAACAAATGTTTCCACAAGAGACTTTGAAGTTCCGCAAGAGGGTTGAAAGACAGGAAAAGATACAACTGTACTCTGGAGATTTTATGAACATCTGGGCATAAATCAATAACTGCTTTACAGACTAGGCAACAAGTGAGGTCTTTCTTCCTTCCCTGTCTAGATTCCAAAAGGTCTATGGTTTTGAAAGCAAGTATGGGGAATGCAACGTTGGCTGGGACATTGTTGTTCTCATGATAGGCATCATCAGCAATGACAGCAGGCAGATTTACATCTAAATTGATTTATAGGCAGCAGTCTTCAGGCATTAGGACCCAAAGAGGCCAGATTTTGCGTAGTGACAATAGTTTAGAAACTATTGTGTGAGCAGCCTTTAGGAAAGCCACCATTTAACTGGAGAATGAACTAAGAATGTCAGCCTTCTGCTGCAGAAGGTGTGAGCACAGAAATAGTTATTTTAGGCATATTGTTTTAGCCCATTTTGTAATATTACTGATGAGACTGTATATTCTTTTGTTCTGACAAGCATCATTAAAGAAGTTAATATCTTGTAGGTAATTTTTCAATCTCATTTTTATTTATGACCCATTTCTTCCCTCATAGGAAAAACAGACAAAATATCACCTTAATTCCTCAATTTAAAGATAAAGCTCTTTCCTATGAGAAGAGCATGCAAGTGCTCATAGATTTTACTCAATTAAGATGGAGTTATATTATAAAGGTTTAAATTCCAAGTTTAATCCCCAAACAGTACTTATATTGCTAGTAGTTTTAATTTTTTCCTGGTACATATTTCCATTGTTCTCATGAAAAGAAAATTTTAATTGCAGAGAAGTAAAATAAATTGTCTTAGGAAAAAATGAATCACCCTTTGAGGAAATGTAGTCATTGGTGTGCTCACACAAACTCCATCAGATATATACTCTCTTTGTCTCAACCCACATAATTTGTAATCTTTCCCACCAAAGGCTGATTTTTAAAATGTTTTATAAAGAAAAAAAAAACATCATCATAAATTCTGAAAACACAAACTAACTATTTTAAAATCTGCATATTATCTACTTTTTTTTCTTGAAACTCTCACCAGAAATAGGGTAAAAGCATTGTTTATTTCCAAAGCAACATCAAAATAGACCACACATATATTGGATGAGCCTGGATGGGATAATTTCTATATTAGCGATATGAACTGGAAAATCAAATCAGTGTGCCATATCAAACACAAACAAAAGTAGACAGCTTAATACATATTCCATGTGTTATGAAACAGAGAAGCTATTTGAAGATGAAGGAAAGGATCATTCAGCTAAGAAATAAAGTAAACAATGATGAAATGATACGATGAGCAACAAAGACAAGTTCTCAAATTTTGGCAACTATTTGGGATCTTAAAACTTTATAAAAACAGGAAAACAAGCTTCCTTTTAAGAAATGCAATTCAATTCATCATTTGTTATTATTATTGTTGTCGTTGTTCCTTACTCTGTGCAAAGAATACTTTTAGTTTGTGGGTGAAAAAAATGATGAATAAGGAAGAAATACATAATGGGGAAGACAAGAACATAACCTCTTCCTGTCTGCAGCCAAATGTGCTAGTATAACTAAAGGAAAACAAAGGATTCCAAGGCAGAGTAAGAACATACCTTGCTTGGAGTCAGGAGAAGCTTCTTATTGAAAAGTAGCATTTGTGGTCAGCATAAGCCTGGTGATATTACTACACAGAAATGTAACCTGAAACCAATGAAAATTTGAATCCAGAATAAATAGCAAAATTCACGAATAATAAATAAATATAGCAGTGCTTAATTTTTGAAGCTATAAGTTATTTTATTAAAAACTAAATATCAAAATCTTCTTTTAGAGTTAGTTGCAATTTCAAAATTAGTTGAATATTATGTCCACAAAGGAAATCAAAACAAATATGCATTTACAAACCCCCTTCTCCAAGGATTCTAACACACCCCTTCCAATTTCCCACTTAGAATTTTAATATGGTAGAGGTGTTGGTGATGAATTGTCTGTGACTCTTATGGATAGACTATTTACCTGCCCATCAAATGTTTATTGATATATTATTATTTGTAAGGCAGTATGAGTGCAAAAGAGAAATAGATATTAATAGGATGAGTGTAAGTATACTATGGGACATTAAATGAAGATAGTATTTTCAAAAAATATTTTTCAATGTTTATTTTTGAGACAGGGATAGAGACAGAGTGCAAGCGGGGGAGGGGCAGAGAGAGAGGAAGACACAGAATCCGAAGCAGGCTCCAGGCTCTGAGCTGTCAGCACAGAGCCTGGCGCTGGGCTCGAACTCACAAGCTGTGAGATCATGACCCGAGCCAAAGTTGGATGCTTAACCGACTGAGCCACCCAGGCGACCCTGAAGATAGTATTTTGAAATGGAATATTATAAAGAACTTTGAGGTTGTGGTGATATTTGAGTTGAATCTTGAAAAATGGATATGATTGGGTGTACCAAGATTTAGAATAATGTAGTTGAAAAGTTCTAGAAATTTTCTTGGAAAGAACAGAAATGTCCATCACATCAAGGTACATTGGTAGGGATCTCTGTGGAGGCAGTTTGCTGGAACATATATTGTGTGAAGAGTACTGACAATTATTTTTGGAAAATAATATTTGAGCCAAATTATAAAGGTAGATGGAGTTTGCTTTAACTCTGTTGTCAGTGGGAATTCACTCTCAGCGTTTTTATTTAGTTTGATTTTTGTTGTAGGACAGTGACATGAACAGATTTCATTTCAAGCATCTTCACCTGGAACAAAGTATAAAATTCAGTAGAGTTGTGAGAGCCAGAAAGTTGGAGACTAGTTGGCTGGTTACTGCTACAGTCTGGGCGAGGGATTAAGGAAACAGCAGAGGCAGTTGGGAAGGAAGAGGGGTTAGTAAGGGCAATTCTGGGCAGCAGACCAGATGCTCTGTCAAGGCAAGGGAAGGAAAAATACAGCAATGACAGAGACCGCAAGACAGGTATGGGGCCCAAAGGAATGCCTTGTTCACCCCATTCCTTAGAGCCCAGTCTCAGGAGACTGAGTTATTTGCTCCCTTAACTCTGCTTTCAAGACCAAATGAAAGCCTAAAAACCTGTTAAGCCTCTAAGGTTTAATGAGAAAACATTGATGTTTCCTTGTCATTTTTCAGTAAAACTAGTGAATGTCAGAGCTGAAAGGAGTCTTCGGTGTCAATTAGCTGAGTCTCTCATTTTTAAACGAGAACACTAAGACCCAGAGATACTGAGTAACTCATTCAAGTTCACACAGCTAATTATTGCCAACTCTGTAATGGAAGTATGAGTCTCTTGCCAATTGGGTGCCTGCTTCACTCTGCATCTGTGGATTTAACAAGGGGGCTGGGAAGAGGGGGACAGAAGCAGTGTCTGGAAGGGTGATGACAATGGAGAAAGTTCTGGTAAATGCAACACCAGGATGCTGACACACGGGTGTTAAATTTAAGAATGACAGTTAGCTTTCACCCACTTGATGGGATTGATATAAATGTTGATAAATAATCTCCATTTATGAGCCCATGTTTTTGGAAGAGGTGTTATGGAGATATACACACTACATATATGAGGCAGCAATGCTTCAACAGTCTTTTGAGTTGTCAGCCCAAAACATTCATTAAAAAAATCAGGGAGACAGCAGGATCTGTATCAAGCCCACAAGACTCAGAAACAGATACCATAGCTGCAAAGGATCCGCAGTGGCAATTACATGAGATACAGGTAAGAACAGAACACTGTAGCATATAAACTCAAACTATTTCCAACAAAGAAAAGTCTATTTATATATATTCAGACAATAGTTGGATGTAATGCAAACCTAGCGGTCTCTGTATTTGCCAGGATTATTTGGCTTGTTTTATTCTGCCAGATCCAAGCTAAACACAATACATGGGTAACCTCCTCTCTACTTTGAACAGAGAGGCAGACAGACTGCCAGAGCACCACATGTAAAAGGCCTAATTGAGGGGAGGGATGACTTAGCTATGCCTAAAGACGTTCTGTACTTAATGAGAGTGCAAACCTACTACATCACTACAAGATGAGTCAGTAAGATTTTGTGGTCACCAGTGACTACAGATGCTACTTCACTCAGAATTCACAAAGGTGAAGTGTTTGTTGAGAGAGGACACTATGTATTAACCCCAAAGGAGGTACTAGCAGCTAATGAATGGTCGCTTTCGACTAACTCTCCCATAGCCCAAACTGAGTGTAACTTTTGCGAGAATATGAAAGAGCCAGGACATACCAGAATACTTCAGAGTCTGACTGCCCTGAGTTTAACTTCTGAGTTTCTGCCATTTATGAGCTTTATTCTCTGTGATACAGGAAAATTTACTAAGTTTAAATTCTTCTTCTGTAAAAAGGGGCTACAAACATCTCACATATTTGGTATAAAAATCACATGTAAAATATCTAGCAAAAAAACTAATACACTATAGATACTCAGGAAATTGTAGTAAATTACAGCAGCTTTTATCACTCAGAATTTTATTTCAACATGGGACCCTAGGCTCTCAACTATTATTTGGTCTTCCTTTCATATAATCTGTATATAATCAATTAGAACAAATCATAAATTTGAAAATGATAATAGAACACCATCTTATTTTATTTCCTTCTCTCTAGGAGGTATACATTGCTAAATAATTGGAATTAGATTTAGCTTCCTATGTACAAATTGTTGCTTTATAATTTTAGAGAAGGTAAATGAGTCCAGATATTGAGAAAGAAAAAGTAAGGCCACCTATGAAACTGTGACACAATTATTTAAATTCATGGATTCGTTTAATCCACTTTTAAACTAAGAGAATTGGAATTATTAATAGGTCACAGCTCCTGCCTTTAGGGAAGTCATGATTTAGCAGGGGAACCAGAAGGCTAAACAAACAAACAAATTGACTATATGTGTGTTACATGTGTGTGTGAGAGAGAAAGAGAGCGAGATAGAGGGAGCAAGGGAGAGAAAGAGTGAAAGACAGAAACAGAGATTGAAAGCAAATGATGGGGGGATGAATAACAGAATGGTTTGCAAAATTTTATGAAAACACTCAACATGGAACAAATTCCTGTTCAGCCATCACTTTTTCAAATCAGCTTATTAGTATACTATTTAAAACAAAATAAAACAAAACAAAGAAACATCTCTTAATAGAACATTACTATAGAAACTTCCAAATAGTCAACTGTGTTCACCCAAAATCAACTATTTCTGTTTTACAAAATCTAAAATTATTCTTACTAGGAAATTCAGTGAACTGAATGAAAGAACATAGTTGAAAAGAATCCAAAAATATTCTTTGTTAAGTACACACAGACTTACTAAGCAATTCACATAGGTACATTAACAATTTACTAGCCAATGTTTTGTACAACAAAAGATGTTCTTGTTAACTGTCTTTTCAGCATCTCTAATCGATTTTGTCTAATCAAACCCTTCTGATTATCTGGGCCACTAGGAGGCCTCACCATGACTGAAGGACTTTGGCTCACCCTTCTTTTGAATCATGCTGATGATACTGGCTTTATGGCAGCTGGTCAGAAGTGACCACACACTCTACCTCACTTCAGGGACCTCTAAAGGGTTTCTCTGGCTCCTGTAAATCCTCTAAGAGGTCTTGTCTATTCTCTAAAGCCACTTTTTTTTTCCAGGAAGACCCAAGAAGGTCTGTTAGAAAACTGTCTTCACCAGAAGCTCAATTAACTGTCACTTGTCACATTGATCTCTTTAAAACTTTCTATACCCTACCCAAAACTCATAGCCTTAAGTTGTGCATTGCAGCCATATGCTGATGGTTGAAATTAGAAATCTTCAAATGCTTTCCTGCCCATTAAAGGTGGGCTACAGACTTTGAAAAATAGAAAGTCTTTATTACGTTGGGTCATTCGTAGTGGGAAAAACTATGTAAAGTAAATTATTTAAGATAAAAATGAAATTAATAAATTAAAAAACATTAAATGATATATTATTTTAAAATGAAACTAAATTAAGATGATGTGTGTTTTTATATTCAATAACATTCAAAATATAATTGAAATTCTACCTAATTCTTAGAATGGACAAAAATAAAAAAGAATTCAATCACATCATATATGAAAGGCATGAATGCCAGTGTTCTTCATTTTCTTTTTAAATGTTTATTTATTTTTGAGAGACAGAGAGAGAGAGAGAGAGTGAGTGGGTGAGGGGAAGAGAGAGAGGGAGACACAGAAACCGAAGTAGGCTCCAGGCTCCAAACTGTCAGCACAGAGCCTGACATGGGGCTTGAACTCATGAACTGTGAGATCATGAGCTGAGCTGAAGTTGGACACTAGATGCTTAACTGACTGAGCCACCCAGGTGCCCCCTTCATTTTCTATTTGGTCTTTACCACAAGATCATAAAGAGTACAAAAATATTTGAGATATTCATCAATTTCCCCAAGGGTTTTTGTTAATCATTTGATAACCAATCTTTCTCTTTAGAAGCCTCTATCTTGTGATTATCTTTATTATTTTCTTTTAATCAGAATTAAGCAGTTTCACTATGTCATTTCTAATTTGTCAGTGATTTTGCCTATGGATTGATCAACTCTCCAATACAGTTTTGCAAAATCAGCTTTGTCATTTATAACTGACTTTCACTGTATTTGCATTGTATTATTTAGTAATTATAATATCCAAAAATCAGTTAGATAATAAGTAGGGCAGAGTAGTACTCATGTGAGTA